GGGGGGGGGGGGGGGGCACATGTTTAAAAGAGATGTGAGGCTTTAAAGGATAAACTGGTGAGATACGGTGTTAAATCACAGCTGGGTAATTTAACAGCAGTTACATTTTCTTAAATCTCCTCCCTGTGACCTCCTCAAAACACACCTGGAGCCAGGACTAGTGTTATTCCTCCCTGTGTGACACATAAGGTTGCAATACAGGGTGCGTTTAGGGTGATGTAGTCTGTGATGTGGTCAGAATTAGGTTGGCCAGTCTATCGCTGGTTTATTTTGGATGATTCCTCCGACGTCGATGAAAGACTTCCTCCCCCGTTCCTCGCTGGAAACTGTACGTAGGCAGGAGAAGTGGGTTAGGAAACAGAAAGCTCCTGAGGGATGACACAGAGATAAACAACAGCAGCGCCCGACATCACAACGACAAAGAAGGAAACTTAAACATGAGAGACGTCGCGTCTCAATTCAGTTCCACTAGACTACAGCTGCTACTCATCTGAGCAGAGCGTGGAGGAGGAGGATGTTTTGATTCTCAGTTACACACAGGCAAAGTGATGTAGTGTTAAAGGGAAAGGTGGGTAAACTGTAAGTTGTCAGTCATCACCATACTACCCTTCTTTCATTAAAAGCATGGCGCTTTATCTCATTGGACCTCTACACTGTAAGAAAGGACAATCCAGTATTTTCACTAAGCAATTAGCATTATTCTTTAAGATGAAACCTTGTAGCAAGGTTGGATGATTGATTTTAATGAGACACGTGTTTGCTTAAAGAAAAATGGGACCAAAGAAAAGGCTTTCAGTGACATAACAGGTGAATTCTTCCATGGAGTTGGGTGTTTGTTGTTCAACACAAGAAGAAAAGATTATTGATTGTTGAGTCTCATTCCCAGGACATCAAATACAGGACACTTTGGGAATGAACAATCAACTATCTTCGAGGCATCAAATGCAAAGCATCTTTATATTTTTCTCTGATTTTGTGTTTTTGTTCAGGCCCGCGCTGGATTCTTTGCTAATGTATTAGGAGCACTAGGAGCCGAGCCAGAGAGGACCTGATTTTTTTCACAGATTATCTGCTCTTCACTGTCTTCTACTGGCAGGACACTGTGAAAATTTCAGCAAATATGAGAAAAAGGTTTTTTTATAAAGTTTACCTACTGCAGCTTTAACTGTGTTTACAGTAAACTCGCATTTGTATTCCTGCCTATGGGGTTGGGGAAGAAGTGTTCAGATTCTTTTACAGTGCTCTGTGGCCTGGTGGTCTAAAAGGTGTACCATGCAATGGGATGGGGTCTTCTACCTTGCTTTTTCTGTCCATCTTTATTGTCAGTCTACGATTAGTAGAATTAGCAATGTTTTTTTATGTAAAAGTAGGGGAGTATTATCTACGAAACATAATTAAAGTAGCATTATGATGTAAATAATAAAGTGTATTATTAGTGTATTATTTATTATATATATAATTATTAGAAAAATATGCATCATCATGTTTTATATGTGCAATCTTAATCAACAAAGCCAATAGTAACTGTAGCTGTCAGATAGGGCTGCAACCAATTACTATTTTCATTATCAAATAATCTGACAATATTTTGTTAAACATTTGCTGAATTATTTGGTAAAAATTTCAGAAAATAATTACGCATGCCCACCACATTTTTCTCCACTGTTATGTGTTGTGCAACAAACAGTGGAATATCACCCTGTGAAATGTGTGTCTGTCCATTCTTGTAACTCACAGAAAATGCACACACTGCTCCTCGTTGAAGTTCTTATAAATAATAAGTATTCACTGTTTAATGCTCTGCTCTGCTCCGTGTTGCACTGCTCAATCCATTTTCATTTCATATCTACTCCAGGGCCTTGCGTGAGGCGGCGGAGCGTCCCCAGGAGAGGAGAGCTCAGCCTGGCCTTTCGCTGATCCATCTCTCCCACCGCTCACCTCCTCCTCACCTCTCCAATAAAAAACCTCCCCCTCACCCTAGGGCCCCGACTCCAGTCTCCAAGCTCTCCCTCACCTTTATCTTCTCCGCTCCCCCTGATCAATCCACCCCCAAATCATCCCCCATCCCTCCCTGCCTCGGTGAGCCATGGCGGTACCTTCAGCCCACGAGTTTCACTGGCAGAGCCTGGCACGACTGCCCAGCGGCCGCGTCTACCACACTCTGACTGAGGTGGGGGGGCAGATGTACATGCTGGGGGGCTGCGACGCTGCAGGGAGGCCTTGCCCGGCCCTGGAGCTCTACTCCCCCGAGGTACCAAACAAATGCAATGTGGACACTGTATTGATGATTCAGTGGTTCATTTTTGGTCCCGAGTGAACATAGACATTTACAAGTACTGTTTCTGATGTCAGAAATAACATCAACAACAAAACATCTGACACATTCAAACATACGCTCATACGTGTACACATGAAGTGTTGTATTTCCCCAACGCTCTGATTACACCGAAGGGGAAAATAAATCTGAAATGTTAAGCTTATAATGTCAACAACAAATCAACAGAAAAGTACAGTACTGTACAGTAGCTGCAGTTTCCATTGTGTAATGTATCATTATTTATTTAAAATCCCCCTGAAGACACTGTCACAAATCAATTGATTTCAATTGGAAATAAACTAGCAAATCCCAGCAGGTGCACCAAGTAAGAGGGGAAACTAAAACTTCGACTTCATAAAACTTATCAAACTCTGCAGCTGAAATGTTGCCTGGCATAATGATGTTTGAACAGTTCAGTGTGCTGTTTTTGTTAGTATTAAGTATTTAGCCTGAATAAAGTATCCGTTCTGTCCTGTGTGAACCATCAACTTATTAAGTGTGTCACGTGTGAGAAAGGGGATACAACCTGAGCACTTTGTTTCTTTTGACAAAGATTTAACTTGGTTTGTCTGTAACAGCTTGTACCTGTTTACAGGGGGACCGGTGGATAAGCCTGCCCCCCATGCCCACCCCTCGTGCTGGTGCAGCTGTGGCAGTGCTGGGAAAGCAAATCCTGGTGGTGGGAGGAGTGGGAGAGGACCAGAGCCCCCTGAAAATGGTGGAGATATACAACACAGACGAAGGGAGATGGAGAAAGAGGAGCGCTCTGAGGGAGGCCTTGATGGGTGTATCCATCACTGTGAAAGGTATGTAGACTATATCATAATAAGTAAGTCATGTTAGTACTGCAAAAAGCTGGCCAAACCCAGGGTCACGTGCTTCTCAATCAGTGATGGGAGTAATGCGTTATAAAGTAAGACGTTACTGTAATTGTAATAACCATTACTTTTGGCAGTAACTAGCAATGTAACTAATTACGTATTTAATTTAAATAACGCAATTAAAATTACTGATATTTAAATTGTGTACCTTACAAGTAGATACGCTACTTGTTGCTGTCCTCTAGTGGTCAGGAGTATTAAAACTTAAAACACTAAAATAATATATCTGACAGCTGTGTGCATTAATAAAAGTAATAAAAAACTGAAGCAGATATTTAAAAGTAAAACAAAAGTTACTTTAACTAATTGCTTTTTCATGCAGTAATTAGTAAAGTAATTCAATTGCTTTTGATAGAAGTAACTAGTAAATGTAGTTAATTACTATTTTTTAATAACTTGCTCAACATTGGTCCCAATTGCACACTAATAGAGGCCTCCAGTTTCACATCGGTGCGGTACAGTGGTGTGTGCAAAGCTGTCAATAATGAGAACAAAATGTGTGGCTGATTAAAAATAATTAGCTGTGTGGGTTGAATCTCATATCGGTTATTCAAAGTTCTTCTCTTAAACATAAGAACTGTAAACTTTCTAAAGAAAAACTACAGCTCCAGACAGAAACCAGAAGAGAAACACTTGCTCAGTCATCTTTCAAATGTGTCCACTACCCAGTCCCAATATGACGTGCATAGAAATATCAAGCCATGACATGTGCTTTTTCTGGAACATGAAATTTGTTATTGATTATGCCAAATATGTTTCATGAATGGAGCAACAGATTATATTTTTCAGCCAGCAGGACTGCATGAAAAATAGAAGCAGTCTGTGGGAGGGAAACACTACCAGTACAGACATCATAAACATCAGTAGGGCTGATCCAGTAGGGCTGTAGTCAACCAATAAAAACCGAAAACTGAAATTCGACCTACTCTTCAACCAATCGGCTGGTCAGTGGGGAAAAAGAAATCTGCACGTCACCTAAATCTACCACAGTGCTCTCTAATCAGAGTTTCACAACATTGCCAAGCAAAATGATTCCTGCACATGACCATTTCTTTTTCACAGATAGATTGTTACCTTCAGGACATGTCTATCAATTTATATACAGCAGCAGCACACACATACAGGACCATGGAGGGAAACAGGCTTCAGAATCAGAATCAGAATC